GCACTTAGTGATGCGTTGTCCATAACTCATAATGCTAGTGAGTCGCTGACATCATGTATCAAGTATAACGAGATGCTACAATACAATGTTTTAAAGGATTTGATGCTTATATTAGAAGCTAGTGAAGGGGACCGAAATAAGTTGATAGATAAAGCCACAATTCAACAAGACTATATTGCCTGGAAGAAGAAAAGTGAGTATTTTAAAGACACTTCCAATGGATTAAGTAACAGGATAATGTCTGATACGTTAGATGAGGGAAGAAGAGCTGCTGCCGAGCAATTGAAAAATACCAAACAAAAAATTAGTAAAATTTCAGAAAAGGAGAAGGGGGATCTATTCAAGGCATAATATTAGAAATCCAGATCTGTTAGATCGTAAGAAGGAGTGTATGATATCTGAATTGGAAGACATGCAAGGAGACATTAAGAAGATGGCTGAAGATTATGAGGCTGGGTTTAGAGGGGTAGAAGAAGAGGATNCAAAAAGACATATAAACTTAGTTTGCTTTGCGAACAGATTTTGCAGTTGGGCTTTATTTAGTATTTTGGCTCACTAAATAAGGCTTCTCAACAATAAAAAAGAACTTGATTCTTTGATCCTCGCATTGTAAGATGATCTCTCATTTTTGATCTGGTTTGCACCGGGATGGCTCTCTCTCATGTGTCAAGACAATTCTTGGATAAACTTATCTGTGCCTAAATTCAACCCCGTCTCTTTCATTTGCCTCATCGAACAACAGTAGTGATTAAATTGTAACAGGAACCGCAGTTTATTCCCTCTCTTGATGACAAAATACAGTTGTTTTCTCATCGAGCAGAAAGGTACATCATTATCAACTTTTTGCCTGAACGGTGCAAAAATTCGTCATCGAGATGCCACTGGGAAAGGTATTCCTTACCAATCTGAGTAAGGTTGTCCTAATCAGCTTATATTTGTAAGCCTATCTCTTCCTAGGTGTATATTGGACTATATCCCCAAATGTAAAAGGTATCATTGAACACCGCTAACTCATGGTCAGTTGTTGCATCCTTTCCTTTTTCCAATACCGCCTTTGCCACAAATATATCAACTAATGCAGCTGCTACTGCAGCAGCTGCTGATAACTCACACAATACTTTATCGGATGTCAAACACAACTGACCCAAATTTATCCCTTCAAACCCATCTTCTCCTGGCTTCGTGCAGATCTACTAATTCAAACCTCTGAAAACTTTTGACAATACCAAGGTCTACCAAAAACATTTGACTAAGGTTTCATGGTTGGTCTTGTACTTATATATGTGATCGGCTTGACGCATATGTTTTGAACCCCAGACGAATGGTGTGGGAGCCCACAAGTAACGATACTCAAAGGAGACTACTCTGCGTAACTCCACAATCTGCAGTAAAATTATGCTCGATTAACCTTTCCTGACATGGGAGTAAAGAATCCTTAGCATCAAACCAAGTATCACTAATAAGAATGAATATACAATCAACGCGTCTTTGGTAGATTCCACTTGATAGCAACTAATAATTATGCTATCATTTGTAATAGGCTTGCTAGGATGGTTGGAGTCTCCTGTGGTATCCAGCTGCACCTCACACAACTGCGGATCTTTTTCAAGGCAAAATTCTCTAGTACATTGTTTACATTTGTCAACTGTATTGATTATTGTTTTTGAATTAGCACACTGGCACTTGCAATATAGTTGATAAGAGTTGGCCAGAGAAGCCAACACCAAAAAAACCACGCAATTGGTAACCTTCATACCTTTTTTTTTCCAGCTTCCTATAGTCTGTATGTTGCTTTATACTATTTGCAACACATGACTCTTTACTAACGTAGATGAAAGACCTCTCTCTCTCTCAATTCATACTTGAATAATTTATTTTTATCCATCCTCGCACGACTCTAATGCTGTCAATAAAAAAAAAATGTATTTGGATGGCGACTCAACTTTTTCATACATCACTAGAGACAAGAGACAAGAGACAAGAGACAAGAGACAAGAGACAAGAGACGAAACACAACAAACTTTACTACAAACATGAGCACAACAATTGATAATTCATACGTACATGAAGGAGGCATTAGACCTTACTTTGAACAACAAATTCAGGATACGGAGATTGAAATCCAACAAAGAACTCAAAATTTACGTCGATTGGAGGCACAGCGGAACAAATTGAACAACAGCGTAAGACAATTGAAAGATGAATTGAGATTATTGCAAGAACCAGGATCGTTTGTTGGTGAAGTTATTAAAGTGATGGGAACAAAGAAAGTGTTGGTGAAAATCCATCCTGAAGGGAAATATATCGTGAATGTGACTAAAGACATTGATATCAAGAAGTTGACACCATCAATAAGAGTCTGTTTGAAAGCAGATAGTCACGACTTGTACAAGATCTTGCCAAACAAAGTTGATCCTTTAGTGTCTTTGATGATGGTTGAGAAAGTTCCCGACTCAACGTATGATATGGTTGGTGGGCTAGACAAACAAATCAAGGAGATCAAGGAAGTTATTGAGTTGCCAGTAAAGTATCCAGAATTATTTTCGAGCTTGGGAATAGCACAACCAAAAGGTGTAATATTGTACGGACCACCTGGTACGGGAAAAACTTTATTGGCAAGAGCCGTTGCCCATCATACCGACTGTAAATTCATTAGAGTTTCGGGTTCTGAGTTGGTGCAAAAGTATATTGGAGAAGGGTCAAGAATGGTTAGAGAACTTTTCGTGATGGCGAGAGAACACGCTCCATCTATCATTTTTATGGATGAAATCGATTCTATAGGATCCTCTAGAGTTGAAGGATCATCTGGTGGTGATTCGGAAGTGCAAAGAACGATGTTGGAGTTATTGAACCAATTGGACGGTTTCGAGAGCTCTAAAGATATCAAGATTATCATGGCAACAAATAGATTAGACATTTTAGATCCCGCCTTGTTGAGGCCGGGAAGAATTGATCGGAAAATTGAATTTCCCGCACCAACTTTACAAGCAAGAACTGATATTTTGAGGATCCACTCCAGATCGATGAATTTGACTAGAGGAATCAATTTGAAGAAAATTGCCGAAAAGATGAATGGTTCTTCCGGTGCTGATGTCAAGGGTGTTTGTACAGAAGCAGGCATGTATGCATTAAGGGAGAGAAGAATCCATGTAACACAGGAAGATTTTGAATTAGCTGTCGCCAAGGTCATGTCGAAGAACAACGAAGAAGGTATGTCGCTCCAAAAATTGTTCAAATAGATTTTGTTGTTGAGCGATAATGCAGCAACCCTTGTTGACGGGCTATCGTGTTTAGTGGCATTTAAGATACCCACTGATCTAGTGGGACAATGGATAATGAGGTGAGTGATGTCAATACCTAAATTTTGTGCCTAATATTATGTTAGCTGAAAGTAACGTCATAAGTGAACATACATCTTATACGTAGTAACTAAACGTGCTATGCTTTGGTAATTTGGAAATGTGAGTGACTTTGTCTCAACTCTATAGTGTTTCTATAAACTAATTAGTGAATACATGTAAAAAAGTGTTTATGTTTGCTGTTTATCATATTATATCGTAAACCTACTACAATGCATGGCCATCTTTTTACATAAAAATTAAGAGAATAGTTACACATTTGGTTGCAAATTTATTAGATAGAAAAACCCACAAAATTTCTAAAAACCAATCCCCAAAACTGCTGATAGTGTTGATGTCTCAGGTATAACAGGTTATGGCAAGGAAGTTGTTTTCGAACCCGAACATCAAACAAATGAATGTAGTGGCAAGAAACCTTCCAAGAAGGGGTTTGGGAATTTTTTTCACGGAATAAAAGTAAAGCAAAAGCCATCAGGGATGCACTTGAGAATGATGAGTCCGTTTTAGATATAGGTGATGGCAATACCTCAGTTGAAGTGCTCTTTAACGTTTACGAATATGCATATACTTCGAACAATAATGTTGAAGAACCAGTGCATGAAAATGTGGGTGAATCCAGTGCTAACTTTATTAATACTGATATGGGAAATGTCGAATTTGCTCCTGAAATGGCTGTTTGAAATGATGCCAACAAGAATCATCAAGATGAACAGGAAGCGGATAATGAAATTACAGATGGAGAAGGTGCATCTCCTTTTGTTGGCAGCGATGGTATTAAGTTTTTTGAGACTGAGAGATAAACATGTAGAGTGTCAGATTGAATTCAATTTAGACAAAGTGAAGCCTACATTTTATCTCTACCAAGACACAGGCTTACAAATAGATATTGCTCTAGTGTTTACAAACCATTTATCCAAGATTCTTTTTAAACGAGATAGAACGAAACTAGTACCTGCTCCCACAGCCCGTTGTTCCCATTGTAGTGATGATGGTATCCAATTTTGTCTTGTTTGTAGGAGAGAGAACCAGAAGTTAAGCTTTGCAGTAATTACAACAACAGCACTTTTCGCATTGTGCTAATTAGTTGTTGCTGAAAATTGTTGAGACGAGAGGAAGAAGAAGAAGAAGAAGAAGAAGAAGGACTGGTTTTTGTGGCCAAAACTCTTAGCGGGGAGGCGCGAAATTCCTATTTGGTCCTGTTTCGCGCTAAAACCTAAATTTTTTTTTTTATTTATTTTTGGTACGGTTTTGTGGTGGATAAATTATATACCATCTGTAGAGTTGATCCCATACAATTATAAATTACTTCCAGAAACTACAAAATTATGAAGACCATTTCATTCGTTGGAAAAAATACTTGTCATTGCAATTTTTCTTTCTCAACATTGAAATTGCCACCCACTCAGTTTTATTTTCATTTTCCAGCTGTTGAAAGAGGATTTAAACTAATTGACTTTTGAAATATGACCACCATCTATCAAGCTCCACCCCAGTTGGCCAACAAAAACTTGTTTCAAACAAGACCATTTATTGATAATGTGTTTATTGAATCCACAAAGTCAAATCAAACTTTCACAGTGGTCAATCCCGCCACTGAAGAGGTTTTAGCTGAATTGCCAGTACAAACCGAGGAAGAAATTGATGAGGCTATTGAATCGTGCCACCGTGCTTTCCAAACTTTTAAACAAACAAACAGTTACGATAGATCAAAGATGTTGAGGAGAATGTATGATTTAATGATTGAAAATTTGGATGACTTGGCAATTTTGATTACTTTGGAATGTGGTAAAAGCCTTGTTGATGCTAAAGGTGAGATCAAATATGCGGCCTCATACTTTGAGTGGTTTAGCGAAGAGGCCAAAAGAAATTACGGGGAGACTATCCAAACATCGAATCCCAACAATAAGGTCATTACCTTGAGACAACCAGTTGGGCCAGTTGGGTTATTATGTCCATTTAATTTCCCTTCAGCTATGGGTACAAGAAAAGCTGCCCCAGCATGGGCAGTGGGATGCACTTGTATATTGAAGCCAGATGCCCAAACACCGTTGAGTTCATTGGCACTTGCTTATTTATCAAGAGAAGCTGGATTCCCACCTGGAGTGTTTAATGTGGTCTTAGCTTCAATCGAGTCTACTCCTATGGTTGGATTGAAAATCTGTGAAAGTCCTAAAATTAAAAAAGTTAGTTTTACCGGATCAACCCCCGTGGGTAAATTGCTCATGAAGCAAAGTTCACTGACTTTGAAAAAATTGTCTATGGAATTGGGAGGCAATGCTCCGATTATCATATTTGACGATGCTGATTTGGAACTTGCAGTCAGTCAATCGATTGCATCTAAATTTAGGTCATTGGGACAGACTTGTGTTTGTGCTAATCGGATCTATGTCCAGAGTGGAATCTATGACAAGTTTTGTCAAGAATTTGCTGCAAAGACAACTGAATTCAAAATCGGTAATGGTATGGAACCAGGTGTTACTCATGGGTGCTTAATTAACGTTAAAGCCGTGGCTAAGGTTGAAGAGCATTTTAATGATGCAATCGCCAAAGGAGCTGATGTTTTGGTTAAAGGTGGAAGATTACCAGAATTGGGTAAACATTTCTACTCACCGGCAGTGGTTTACAACACTCCCAGCAATGCCCAAGTATTTCATGAAGAAACATTTGGTCCATTGGCTGCAATTGCTAAATTCGATACGCGTGAAGAAGTTGTCAAGTTGTGCAATGATACTCCATATGGTTTGGCATCATACGTGTTTAGTGAGTCATTGAATACCGCTTGGTATATGTCCGAGTACTTGGATGTTGGTATGGTTAGTGTCAACACTGGGTTATTCACAGACGCCAGTTTACCATTTGGTGGAATTAAAGAATCAGGATTTGGAAGAGAAGGTTCCCTTCATGGAATGGATGACTACACCGTGATAAAATCCATAACATTGGGAAACTTGTATAGATAATTACGACAACCATTTTAAATATATATATATATATATATATATATGTACATATGTACATATGTATCATTTATGACTAGATGATTCTTAAGCACGAGTTGTTGTGTCCTTGTACTTTTTGACAAACTTTTCATGAAAGCTAGCCCACCTTTGAATCCATTCTTCACCTGGTGGTAAAAATGTGGTTCTTAAATGATAAGTACCTGGCTTTTGTCCAAATCCGTTACCTGGAACACAACAAATACCCGTATGTTCTAAAAGTTCAATACAGTACAAATCATCAATTTCAAGATTCGAGTTCTTGGCTCTGGAAAATAATTTGTGGTAAACTTGAGGATCAAAATTGAGCTTTGGGAAAATATACATTGCTCCCTGGGGTTTATCAACGGTTACATCTTCCATACCCGAGAAAGCGTCATAAAGCGCTTGTGCTCTCATTTTCAAATTGTCAAATATGGTTGTCGTTTCCTCAACGTAAAGATCATACGATTCATCACCCTTTTTTGGTGGATTCACCATTAACTCGACCATTGCTTGCCCTGAAACAACAGAACACAAGTTAATCGATGCCAATTTGAAGATGATATCCTTTACATCAGATTTAAACCCAACAAGTTCCATGTATCCACCACGTTGTCCACATTCTCCACTAACACCCTTTGACGTCGAATGTAATGAAGCCAATTGTACATTTTTGTACAAATCATGGTTTTTCTCCTTCAACTCGGACAAAACACGTTTGAAGGAATAGAATTTCCCACTAAAGACATTTTCTTGATACACTTCATCAGCAATCAAGACAGTACCATGCTCAGCCGCAATTGAAATGAGTTCGACAATATCATCACGCGACAAAATTGCTCCCGTTGGGTTACCAGGATTAATGACAACCAAGGCTTTAATTTTGATACCCTTGGCTGTACTGTCTTCAATCAATTGGCGAATTTCTTGTGGGTTTGTTGCCCATCCTTTTGATTCATCCAAGTAATATCCAATGGGTTGTGCATCATTCAAAGCTATAGTGGCAGTATACAATGGATATTGTGGAATGGGGATCAAAAAGCCTGAAGATTCATCTTGCGACAAGATTTGTAATAAATAAGATACAGCAGCAGATGCCCCTGAAGTTAAAAAGATGTCATTGGCATTTGATGAAAACTCACCACCGTCTCTCTTTGTGATAAACTCAGCAATCGATTGTCTAAAATAAGGAGCACCTTGAGACAGGGAATAAGCACCAATCGAACCAACATTTTCCAAAATTACTTTAGCTCTTTGTTTAACATCAGCGGGGAATTTAGCTCCCAGATCTTCCTTCAATAACTCAGGATATTGCAAGATGGATAAAACTTGTCTATACCATGTCAATGGTTTTTGATCCAATTGTTGTGGGTTTCCGATATTGGCATTTACAATCTTGTTAAATGGTAATCCGTGACTGGTGGGTGACTTTTTAATCAAGTCACTTAAACCATCGGCAATGATTGGGATCTTCCCTCTAACTGCATATTGAGCCTTGACGGTCTGTTCATTTAAATCATGGATATTCAATGGGTCAGCTGGAACAAAAGAAGATTTAAAACGGTAACCAAAGGAAGCAGTGGTGGTGGTGGTAGTAGTAGTAGTAGTAGTAGTAGTCGGTAGCATATGGCTGATACGACTAACCATACTAGCTGATTGAACTCGAATTTTGGTTGATAAAGTAGTATTAATTGGTGTGATATTTCTGATCATTGCTAAAGAGGATAAACTGCAGCTTTAAGTAAGAAATGAAATATTTTATCTGTAATAATCAGTAAAAATTTAACCTTGATGGGGATTGGGGGAGGGGGAGAAGGGAAAGGAAAGGGGATAAGGTTAAGTAAACCAAAGCAAAATTGTGTCAAAACTAGTGAAGTGAAGGCGGGGGGAAGGGGAGATATATTATTAGTCAATTGAATTTGAACTAAATAAAAAGTGAATGATTAAAAGTGGAGTGTGAGGTGAGGAGTGATTCGAAAGGAATAATGAATGATAGGATAGGATAGAAATGTATGTTGATGTTTGGTCTAATAAAGTAAAAAAAGAAAAGAAAGGTTAAACTGTCTTTCTGTGTGTGTGTGTGTGTGTGTTGGTCTAATTAGTGTTGGTAGTTTTTCTTGAATTATTTGTTGAGATTAAACAATTTTCAACAACCAGTATTTGTTTGATGAAGAGAAGAATATTTTTAGATTTTTAGTTACACAACAAAAAGACAAAGGACTACACACATTCACACAATATCCACAATATCCCCATTGCCCGCATTACCCACATTACCCACATACAACTATTGAACTTTTGAACTTTTGAACTTCGTTTTGTTGTAATGTTTTTAGTTATGGTTTTATTAACCAAGAGTTGTTTTTTAGCCTTGTGTGATGTATTTGGATAATATGTGGGGTGCATACGATTAGACAGCTCAACTACAATTGACTCTGTTTGTTGAAAAACTATTAAACGAAGTTACTTTTAGTTCGTGTATGTTGTTTGTCATTGTTTGTCTTTTTTTCTTCTTCTTCTTTTCTCCGTCTTTTGACAAACTCTCTTTTGACTTC